CTCCTCCCCCTCCCGCTGCCCCGCCCCGGGCCCAGGGCCCGCGGACCGGAGAAGGGAGAGAACCCGAGTGAATGCGGGCGCGCTTCACCCTGAGCCCCTTGGGAGTCACCCGACAAATATTTGGTCTCTGAAGCTGTTCTCCGTTCAAGGTCTCTCCCGGCCAGCGCGCCCTCTAAGTTTTGGGATTGGAGGAGGGGCACGCGAAGGGCTCTAGGTCAAAGCCTTTTTAGTAATGCGGTCTCTGGGCAGCCTGGTTTGGGGCCGGGAGCTCCTGGTGGGAGGAAGTGGGTTGCGGGGAACAGGAAGCAGCCTGGGAGGGGAGACCAGGCCTGTGCCCTCGGCGGCTTCCGATTACAGGTGCTTCCCTTGGGCTGCTCCCACCCGCGACCCCAAAGCCTTCTGTCTCTTGTTAGGAAAGACGGGTTTCCAGGTGGCCCGGCCAGGTGATGAACAGGGAAGAAAAGGGGCGATGCACCAAAACGAAGGAAGGGGTCACTCCTTTCTAACCGCTTCTTCTTATGGGCACTAGGGGGGCCTGAGCTTTATCATGGATTGAAACCAAGGTGCCCGCAGTGTAACGCGGAGTGACTGAGTGGCCTTTACAGACGTCATCCCAGCCACTCCCTGTACAGAGAAGGAAGTTCTGTTTGGTGGCACTGCCTTCCAATACTCGTTAACTCCCTCGTTAATGGCACCTCCCAGCCTTCCTTACCTCTGCTCTCCTGGGAAATGAACTTCTGGTGAAGGCTGTTGGAGCTACCCATTTATACCTTAGGACAGCCCATTTATACCTCCCTCAGGGTCCTAGGACCCCTCCTCACACTATCTGGAAGCTTCTAGAGCCAATTTTGGAGGGTGACCCAGACGTAAAGTCCGGTAAAACCCAAGGTTCTAGATGCAGGAGCAGCCAGCTTCCTATGCCTGCTGGGATGCCAAAAGGGCAGCTTTAAAACAAAACAAAACCTGCCTATGGGTGCCGTGGAGTTGTCAGTGGCCACCCGGCTTATCTGCCTTCTCTGCCTTCTCTCTGGCTAGACTACTTTCATCCAGCTCGAAGGGAAAGGGGGCTCGTGGATATCAACTGAGCCTTCCTTCCCAGAGAACAAAGGGGCCAGCCTTGTTGGAATGGAAGCTAAGAAAGCTTGCAACACCTAGGAAAGGACCTGAAAAATCTATCCCTACCTGAGATGGGGAGGAGGGGAAGGTCAGTGATGATGCATCTAAAATCCCATTTACAAATTCACAGTGCCCCAAAAAACCTACATCTGGGCCACATGAGATCCAGAATTTTGCTTTATTAGACATGTGAAGACAGAAAGTTTGCAGATACAATCTTGTCAAGTTGTGAACTGCTGCAAAGTTCTGTGAAGTTTGAATCTATCTTGTAGTGAACAAGACCCATTTTAGAATATAGTTCCATATTCCAAGCAGATGAGAGGCGTGACATGACCAACAACTTTTATACTAGTCATCCATTTAAGCCATTTCCCAGCATAAATATGCAGCTTAATCACAGCTATTTCATCTCTACAATGTGAAGTTCGATCGTCAACTAATAATGCATTTTGACTCCTGTTTATATTGGTGCATGCGATTCTTTGCCACCCTGGCAATTAACCAGACCTGGACTCTAAAAGCTAAACTTGATCTAAATAACATTCTAGGGGGAGGGCAGGATCTGCAATCTTGACTCATGTTAGCTATCACTCTACAAAAACGCTTACACATCTCCTCCTCGTTCCTGTCTTGTCTGTCTGTAGCTTGTCTGTCATTCAGCATTTACTAATACCTGCTGTGTACAGAAAGGGCAGTCACATAGGAAATCCTCTGACAGTTCTGCTTTCAAGAAACGTGAACATCAGATAATAAACCACGACTGAATGATCTATCAAGACAACAGGCCTTTCAGAAACTTTCTAAGATTAGAAAATGTGTCCCAGTGTACTTACCTAGTGCTCTTATTCTAGAATATTTCCGGGGTGAAGGGTGTATTTGGGGATTCCCTTTAAGGAGGTAAGACTAGTGGGGCTGCATCTCTAGGGCCAGAAGAAAGTCCAATAAAATGATCACCTCCTCTCCATCATCTATTTGCCAACACTACAGAGTTCAACCAGCTCATTTTAAGAGAAACACACAGAGGCATCTTTAATGCAAGGTGGGAAAGGTCTTACATTAGCCCAAAAAAGGACTTGACCATATTACCCACACTTAATCCACTAGAAAAGCCGGATCTGTGCACCATCTGCTTTCTTCCTTTGACCCTGGCGTACTGAAAACATCACACATGGTGGACCACACTTTGCCCTCAGAGTGACTGCTTTGCCCCACAAGGAGAGGTTGACAACTTTGCAGGGATGCTGAGAGTTTTTGTAGGTTTTTCTGCACAGTCACAATGCTTACAGAACCAGAATGTTCAGCTCTCAAAGACTGGACAGGAGAATTGATACATTATTATGCTCCTTCAAATGGTAACTGTGAACCTTTGGGAAGGATGTGAGTGTAGAAAGGTCTGACGACGCTGTTGATCGATGCTGTTGGTCCAGGTGGGTGGTCCGTGTGTTCAGAATATTCTGACCCTTGACACCTCTCTCTATGGCTCGGTCTTGCATACATAGTCCATAGCTTAATATCGGTACAGATTGGTGAGTAGTAAGCACAATTAAGAAATGAAATCATGGAAGACAAAAGGCAGCAATGACAACAAAATTCAAAGAGCATTTTCCTTTTTTTTTTTAACAAGAGCACATCGTAGAAATAAAGATTCTGTACAATATTCTAATATTGTATGTACATAAAATTATAATTAAATTGAGAAGTCTTACTTGTAGAATATGGCTGGCAATACCAAAGAAAGACCTATACACGTAGCTTCTGAAGCAGAGCAGGCAGCAAGAGAACCCTAGCAAACACCCCTCTGTGCCTGGTCGAGAGACCCGGTGACTAGGTTATGTGGCTAGCATTCTCTAGATCTGTGGTGTGTTGTGTTTCACATTCTAGTAGGGAATTCAGCAGGCGAGGTGAAATCGAAGACATGTGAAAACATAATTGGAAATGCTATTTAAAATCTGCGTATCAGCTGCGATAATGGGTTTGTGAATCCAACTTGCATTCGAAGTTAGTTCGCTCATCCTCCTTCCCTTCAGTACGCGTACCCCCAGTGATTTAAAATTGGACTGAACTCCAGCAGGTGGGAAAGACAGCTTTGGACAGCAGCGAGAGACTGAGAGTCAAATTCTTGATTCTTTTTCCTCCGTTGTTTCCTGAAGGTTGAAGCAAGCCGGCTTTGCAAGCGGGGAAGGATGGAGAGAATGCAGACCCAGCCAGCGGGTTCCTCAGCCCCTCCCCTCGGCGCCCTACTCCAGTCCCCTTCCTCCCCAAGCCCATCCTGTGAGGGTTAAACACGTGCCATTCCCCAGCCAGGTGGGGCCCCTGCCCCACTCACGAGAGGGCGAGTGTGGGATCTGCCATCCTCCGTGTAAACCCTCTTCCTATGGGAGGCTGCTGGCTCTCGTTTGTGCTTCAGCTTCAGACCAAACCTCAGGTTAGGAGTTCTCAAATTTCAGTTGACTCAGTCATTTTCGGTGGTGTTTATTAAAAACCGCAGATTCCACCCGTTTTTTAACCAGTGCTCCGCTCCCCTGCAGGAGATCCAGAGATCTGCTTTGAAAACAACCTGGCTTAATTCATTCACCAGGTACAGACCTATTAATTCCTTTTGGACAGACTAAAAACGGAAGATTTTAATGAAACATTTCCTAGAACAGATTCTCTGCCTGTGTATCACCAATGTTTTCATTTCAAAATGTGGGAATAAATGGCCAAAACTTTTAGGGGGATGAGGGTAGGCAGGGAGGAGGGAGTTGATTTAAAATACGCATGTTTTTCAAGGTGAGGGGACTGTTCCAGGCTCCTGGGCTTGGTGACGTGAAATGAACAAGATAAATTGCAACCTCATTTCTCATACAGAATTCCTACTAAGGTTAACTAGAATTACTTATGAATTCAAAAATCAGGATAAGGCATTCTGATGCTAAAAATTATACAACATATAATTTGGGGCCTGTCAGACGCTCGTTAACATCCATTTCCATCGAAGCAAAGTTTTTACCTGTGAAAAAGTTTCAGGTATCACTCTCCCACTCACACGAATCCTAGCGGATTAAGCCAAAGCTACAGTTGTTCTTCACTGAACCTATTTGGAATTTAAATTATGAGAAGCTAAAACAGTGCCCAGAGTAGGCCGTCTCCTCCCACCAGCTAAAACGCGCTCCAAGATCCCACTCGAGCTCCACTTCTGATCACATGACGAGAAAAAGAAATTAACTGCAGATGGCTGGCATTTTATATTGACCGCCATCCAAAAAATGTGAAAAGCAAAGCCTCAAAGGGATGAAGAATCTCCTCCTGGCTCCAAGATCTCATTTCGAATCTGGAAGGACAGTGATGGGGCACCCTAAGTTCTGCCTAATGGAGACGTGTTCGAAGCGAGCTCAGTCACTGTGCAGAAATGGACAGATTCCCTTGCTGGGTGTGTGTTTCACCACTCGGACCTATGAAACCTAGCTGCTCTTCTAGGATCCTCGAATTTCTTATTCCCAAACCCCAATCTTAAATTCCTGACAGTTAGTTTCTGACTCCACTGTGCCCTCAAAAAACCTTAATTATTTCTAGCCCTGGTCTTATCCTCCCTGCTGAAATTTGGGTGGGCAAGGTCAGGGTCAAGGGCAGGGAAAGAACGGTCAGGGTTGAGGTCAGCAGATGCGGGTGAGCTGAGTCCAAGGGGGCAGGCGACAGGGAAGGCCAGTCAGTAATTTAAGAAGTCAATCCCAACCTTGACACTCTTCGAGGTGGCTATATCGATGGCTGTGGCCTTGATCTCGGTGTCCCCGAACTGCATGAGGGTCTGGATCTCCCTCCGGGCGGGCACGGCGGCGCTGCTGGTCCCCGTGAGATCCAGGCGGAGCGTGCCACACTTCTTCACCCCAGGGTCAGTGATGAAGCTCACGTTGTCATGCTCAGAGCTGTAGATGTTGATGACGATGACCAGCTGGGAGGGCTTGGCGGGGGTGTAGCTGCGCTTGACCAGCTCACCCAGAGCCACGGACTGGTCGACAGA